AAGCATGGGATGGATCTGCAGGAGAACTGGTGCCTTTCTGTTGAAGCTGACTGAACGTCTGGGAACTGGTGAACTGTGTTTGCCTTGATGAGGGCTGAGAGTTTAACTGAAATTGGATGGAATCCAACAAAAACATGGATGGGCTTTTCAGCACATTCATTGAATTACATAACAATCAGTTGAGACAACATTGATAGTCATTGTAATTACAACATATATATTCTGTGCTTACCTGAGCATTTAGATTTTGAACTGCAAACTTCAGCACCTTATCCCCAACGATATCCCTCATGTGGCGAACAAATCCCTCTTTGGCAATTTCATTTTTCTAACATCAAAAGATGGTAATAAATTAGGATAATACATGATCCATCCAGTCTATTGTATCCACTGCATTAAGAAAAAGAGGATGGTTGATGGAAAACTTGTCATCAGCAACCCACCTTCAGTTTACTGTATAGAGTGCGAAGTTGCATGGCTCTGTCTGGATCTAGTTGGGGCAGTAATGCAGGCAGCAACATGGCAAATGGTACCTGTTTACAACGATTCATAGGTATACTAGGCTGCTGTGTGCTACTGGTCTGTTGATTGCTTATCTTCTGTAATTTTAAATATTGTGAGTCACTATCTTGATTATTCATTCTTTCTGGTTCGCCTACTGGGATAGAACTCTTTTCAGATTTATGCATCCCAGTTGTTTGAGGAACCTGGACAGTCATTTGTTCTGTAACTGATTGTTGATGATCATCTTGGATTTGTTTCTGCTGCAATGGAAGATGACTGAATTCTTTGGAGACTTCATTCGGCTGCTGTTGCTGACTCTCAGAAACCGATCCATGATGCTTTTGCTCCATTTCAGATGAACGCCAATCTTGCTTCAGTGTATTTTCAAAACCAGTTTGACTTCCTTGAGGCAAAACTCCTAGGTTTTAAGTTGCAGACATCATAAATATTAAAGAAATCTCAAGTAAGAAAATATAACAAATAAGATTAACATGAGATAATAATATAATATGAGTTAGGATCCACTTACACACCACACTTACACAAAATCTTGACTACTCATCTCTCCACTTTCAATGGTTGAGATTTATTCACTTTTTATCATACTTATTAAAGATAATTATCTTTTTCATCTAAAAAATCATGATAAATCTCAACCATTGAAAGTGAAGTGATAAATGGTCAAGATTTTGTATAAGTGTTGTGTGTAAGACTTGTGTCTAAATGAATCCCTACTCATATAATATTAATGACAACAATTTAGAAAATCCATGTCTTCTCAAAATAAATTAGTTAGATTCATTAGATAAACCCATATCTTTATCCATTATGTCGGTATTTCTTTATCTTTAAATAGAAAATAAATGAAAGAAGTCCATTTAAAGAACAATCACAAAAAAAAGAAAAGAAAAAGAAAAAAGAGGCATGAAGGGTTGAAGTTTTATGAACACTAATTACAACAATAAGTATCTTTTGTTATCCAGAAAATATGATACCATATTCATACAGAAATGAGAAAAAGAGTGGCATAAGCTCAATGGCAGTCAGCTCATCCAAAAGATGATTATTGGGACAGCATACACACCCACACACCCACTAGGATTCCTGTGATGAAATTATTTCGTACATTTCCTATGACAACATCATATGATATAAGCTAAACCATTGCATTTTTCCATCCCCTTGAGGATGCCCCAGCAGTTAAGACCTTGGAACTCCAACTTGAAGGTCTCTCAAGTCCAAACCTTAAGACAAGTGTGGGGTGGCTTATCTCTGCTTGTACTGCCCATCATGAGATGCACCAAAAATAGTTGCAATGCATTTTCCCAAGCTACTACACTTCCTGGCCCATCAAAATATTGTAAAGTTGGTTTTTTACAGTAAATATATTTCAAGTAATAAGGTCACTAATAACTAATAATTAGCCACTCTCAACCATCTGATTACCAGATTTTAGTTTGACTTGCTAATTGCTATGTTTGCAAGAAATTTATCTGTAACTTAAGGGAAGGATAATTTCCACACTGACTAAAATAAAATTTCCAATCAATGAAAGCAAATAAAATTAGAGATTGCACTCAACCTGTTAGGATAAGAAATTCTTAATACCATATTTGCTAATGCTTTTAAGTTTTTTTCAAGCTAACTAAACAAATAGAGGCAAAATAAATTTCATTTTGGCTCTACCCTTTCCTTTCCTTCCTACCAAGATGCATACTCAGATTGACTTAAGATGGCTTTCAGAACAGCCAGAGGCACCCACAAGACTCACTAGCCAGAGACACCCACAAGACTCTCTGGGATTCCCATCATGAAACCATTTCATCCATGTTCCATGCAAACATCATTCAAAACAATCTTCAACACTGCATTTCTCCCATCTACTATGTTTCGTGGCCCTATGAAAAACTGAAAAGTTCCTCTCTTTACTATGGTAAAGTTTCAACTACTAAGGTAACTAATAACTAGTAATAAGCCACTCTCAACAATCTAGATTATCAACTTTCTGTCTGATTTACTAGGTTTGTAAGATATTTATTCTCGATCTCTCCACTCGTTAATCACAGTAAAACTATAGTTCTGAAAATTGGTATTTTAACATAATTCAGATAATTTAAAACATAATTCAAGTTATTGAAGATGCAACCAAAAGAAAAAGGTGCAGACTGAAATTAATACCTGTTTCTGAATCTGATGGTTGGGAAGGGGGCGTATCACCCTCTATATGCCGATTTAAGGCAGCTTGCAACGCATCAACATCAGCCCCAGAATGCATAGACTCATCCTGACAAATATTATTCAAAGGAAATAAAAATCAGAAACCCTAATTCATCAGCAATTACAAAGACACAGATCAGAAACGAGAGAGGAAAGCAAAACCTCATCCTCTTCGAAGAGCTTTACAATTGAAGGATCCATCACATGCAAGCTTTGCGCACCTTGAGATTACCTCCACCTCAACGACCCAAAGATCAAACTCAAAGTGGAGGAAAGCTTGAAGGATCCAGCAAAGCCGAGAAATTGGAGAAACGGAGGTCGGAATTTGCAGCGTTTAGATCTTGTCCATGATTACCGGTATATTTGTTTATGTTCTCCAATCTCTCCCACCTTCTTCCTGCCAATCCAGGGCAACCCAGTTTTTCAATTTCCCATGGAATGGAGATAAACTTAAAAAAACCAGCATATATCGTTAATGGCGGCCACGGCCACGCTATCGCCATCCCAGCAACACCATTCCTCTCATGAGTTATGACCTTTAATGCTTCGTGGAGCTCGACTTCAGCATGGACCGGATCAAGCGAACAGATTTGAGCTATTGAACAGATATTCAATCTCAAGATTAAGCTGAAGCCGTGATTATTGAAAGCTGCTATGATTTGATCCCAAAAAATTGGAGAAAACAGAGAGGAAGAAGAGGAAAGGGTAGAAAATAGATACAGTCGGAGTGGCGACGGTTTAGTGTGTATCTAAATTGCCGACAAGCCCAATAAAGGTGTCTCCGAACAAAAAATATAATTTTGAAGAAAACTGAAATGCAAATTATAGCGAAAACCTACTCTTAAGCCATGAGGCTTCTTTCTTTTGTCAAATAAGCTCATCACTTTTTTTTGTAGCCCATCATCATCAATTTTTCATTTGAGACAAATAAACTATATAACTTAAGGAATTCGGTGTTTTACACTTCCGACTGTAATAAATTGTAAAATGCAAATCATCACGTGGGGAATTGGTTTTCATATTCAGG